AAATTGATTTACGAAATACAGTTTTTTTTTCTCAAAATGATCAAAATCATGAATAAATGAATAACCATTGAACATGTTTTTTTAAACAATCGAATTGAATCAAAAAAAAAAAATAATAAATTTTCTGAAAAGCAACCTGATATTAGACGAGCATGATTAAAATTAAAAAGTAATCATGATGGTAATCAAATACATAAAGATTGATAACTTGATATGTGTTTTCCTTTTATGTCAAAAAAGTTGTTTTGACTTATAAATATTTACTGAAATGATTGAGAAAAATTCATGAAAATACTGCATGATCTTATTATAATAATTTTTTAACTATTGTAATAATTAAATCTTCAAAACTTCGCAATTTTTTAATGCTTATTACATATAATAATTTTCTAAAATTATAGTTGAACACGCGAACGATAAATTTTAAAAACTGATTGTTTCAACACTTCTAGGACACTTTTCTTTTTTTTTGTTATAATCAAAATTACATAAGAAAATATTCTTGAATTGAACTTAATTATTTGTTATTATTCATTCTGATCTTAAATATAAATCAGATCGAAAGAAACTAAAATTGATTTCATCGTTTATGTTCAACTTATGTAATACATTAATATCCATCGTTTTTTTTTGCATTGCATGTGTTAATTTTATTCTTGTAAAAATGAAACAAAAAAAAAAATGATTGAAATATTAGGTAAGCTATATTGTTAACTTCAATGACGTAATCTTATAAGAGTTTTCTTTTTCTTATTAAGTTACAATTTATGCAAGTTCTTTATTTTTTTTTTCTTGTTTACAACAGACTTCATTCTTCTGTTTTTGCAACTATTCGAGAAGCACCATGAAGCTTTTTTTTTTCTTTTTTTTTCTTTGCTCTCGTTCTCTTGGTGTATATATATATATATATATATATATATATATATTGTGCCTTTCACCATCATTATGGTTCAAGGTCCGTTCAGGGTTACTTCTTCGTAAATGTGTATTTGAACAGCAGATTGCATGAGAAAAAAAAAAGCAGAAAATGTGTATGTAATCAAGGTAAGCGTGTCAAATAAAACAAAAAAGCAATGAAAAAAAAAGAACACACTATTTTGAAAATGGAAGTATAGTATCCTATTTAATACGAAAACGCCCATTCGAACAGCTGTTCAAGGTTACTGAATACACATACATATATTATAAAGCCTTGAGTGGTGCTCGATCGCAAGTTCTCCTTTTTTTTTTCTTTGCCTTATGTATTCGTTTGTTGATTAAATCACAGAGAGAAAGAGAGAGAGAGAGGGAGAGAGGGAGAGAGAGAAAGAAAGCATTTGATTGCGTCATACACATTCTTTATATCGTCGTTGGTTGATGATTGCATTTGTGTATTTTCGAGAGAGAACGAGAAAAGAAGAAGATAGAAAGGGATAGAAAAAGCAATATTTGTTCTTGAACACACATCATCGCGCTATGCTAGAAAAGCAAGAAAAGAAGAAAATACCAGCATTAACAGTGAATAGTAGCAATAGTATCTTCAAGCCTTGAAAGCTTCGTTGTCATCATCATTGTTGATGTTACTGGCACATTGAAGGTTGATTGATCGTCGTAATGCTTTATGTATGTATATGTCTAAAAAGAGTTTAACCTTGTCAACGCGGTATAGAACAATAAGATTCCCAAAATTCAACAAATCAAAGTGACCTTGACCGAACGTTAAGATCCTTTTCTTATTCTCTTTCTTACATAAAGAAATTCAAGGCAAATAATGAAGGTTGCATATGTTTTTGATGTAAGATCGAATAACTTAGTTTATCATTATTTATTTTTCTGCATAATATATTTCATATCATATATAAATATAATATTGAATTAAACTATTGATGTAAAATATATAAAATGTGATATTCTTATTCTTTTTTTTTTTCTTTTTTATATTTTTACATAAGCAAAATAATTCAAAAATAAATTTACAATTATTATAATATTTATTTATATATGAAAACAATCATCAACTATCAAAATAGTTGATGAATAAAATTGATTATAAGTTATTCATTCTCGCTCTCCCTCTCTCTCTCTTTCCATACGATGAGAATGTATGTGTGTTGAATGAAGAGTGTTTTTTTCTAGATAATAGAAATAGAGTTTATTACATTCCATTTATCTATCTATCTATCTATCTATCTATGATTATATAAGATGAACAACTAATAGTACATATCATATATCCTTGCAAAGCAGAACGAGATATAAAAAGAAAGTCTTAGATTGAGTTCGAAGGTTAATGTAAAATTGTATGCATATTTATTTATCACTAAGATATTTTTAATATCTTAATAGAGATAATGTTCAGAATAACCTCGAATATGTCATAAAGACATTCATATGTTATTTCATATTTAAAATTTAATTTTATGTATATTAAATTGAATTCATAGTGGTGTAAAACAAATTTGAAGATTGACGCGTGGGGAGAACCATAAGGACATAATGTAGAAAGCAAAAGAAAAAAGAAATTTTCTTTTTTTTTATGTCATGCTTTTATTCACTTTGGATATCTCGTTTTTTCTTTTTTTTTTGCGTGCAGTAGATCTGTTGTGGAATGATAATATGAACTACGATTAGGTAGGCGTTTATGCATTATTAATTAGTTTTTTTTCTCGGCATCTGACAACTGTTGTTAAAGAATAATAATCTTTAGCCCACGCTTATCTTTTGTTGTTCAATTATGAATAAAGTTTTATGACATTGTCATGAAATGGATTATTTCCTAATGTATTCTATTTTTTTTCTCTAAATATTAACAAAGAATCATGATTTAGAGTTTTGTTATTATATAGCTCAGATGTTTATGTGTTTATATGCACTATGAATAAATTTTTTTGTTTTTTTTTTTTTTTTATGAGCTAATAGTTGTAGTCATTGAATATATGCGCAAATGAATATAAAAATAGACAAAGGTAGTTTGTGCTTTTACACTTTCTGTTTTGATGTTTTTTCATTTGATAAAAATAAGTATTCGTTTATGTAAGACTGAAAAACATTTACGTGAAGTTTTTGTTTTTTTTTTCTCTAAAAATAGAAGTTGATCTAAGATAATTTTCTTGTTTTCTCTTTCACTGTCGATTGATGACATAGTAACAAAAAGAAAACATTTGATTTCCACGTCATTTCGTATTTCATGTAGTTCTTTTTTTTTTTTGATTCACTGTAGGTGATTAATAGAAGAGTATACATGAAGGGGAAAAAAGCCTATGTATGTATTTTACTATAGAAACAAGAAAATAGAAGAACGTGTATATACTTCATATCATAATATCTTATGTCAATAATAAAAACAGAACGCTTGCTCACACATGCGCCCACATATCATTGCGTAATATCGACAACCTTGTTCGCTTCTCGCATTCAACAGCTTTTTTTTTTTTCTTTACTGTCAGTGTATGCGAAGCAATAGAGAGATTTTTGTTCTGCTCAAAGAAGCTGCTTGTACGCATCTGATGCATATATATATATATATATATATGTATATGGAAGAAAAAAAAACGTGCATGCATTTGGTTGAGATGCGACAACGATAATGTGACAACACCATATAAAGAAAAAAAAAAGGAGAGAAAAAAGCCTTGTACTTTTAGGCATTAGAATAGAATGTATTGATGTGATGATTTCTCTTCGCTCAAGCGCACATACTGTGCCCTTTTGAGAAAGAATCACAGATATGTATAAATATCTAAGCAAAATAAACAAACATTAGGCAATTGATTTCTAGGTGCTATATATTGTCCGAGATCGCTTTTCCTTTTTTTCTTTTTTGACCAATCTATCTATTAATAATATAGAGTGCATATACGTATATATATGTCCTTGAGATAAATTCAAGTGAGATCTGAAATATTCTATAAATCTTATGTCTCTCGTTAGATATCATTGTCTAATTAATTCCGAATGTTATTACTTAATTCCCATACGAATGCACTCAAAAACAGATATTGTACAATCGTTCACAATATGTAGTAACGTTTGTTTATTTTTCCTTTGGGATAATAATGATGTGATGAATGAAGAAGGAGAAAGGATGGATCGTATGTTAAATAAAAGAATAACAAAAAAAAAGAATATGTTGTATAAGATTTTGTATTTGTTCATTTCAAATTATTGCTTTCATTGACACATCTAACCAGTAGGCGATTCCGAGAATTTTTCTTTTCTTTTTTTTTTTTTTCCTTTCTAACCATAGAGGCATATTTTTAGAGCGTTGTTTTGTTTTGCGTAAAAGTCATTTCCTCTTTTTTTTTCTCTTGCTTTCTGACGCCATGCGCTGCTTGTTGTAAACTTTTGCGGTCAGGCTTATCGTTCTCATCAAAAAAATAACTCATGTAATGACTTTTGTTGCGTATATATGTAAGAATACGAGAGAGAGGTCGCACGCTCCTTTTGTTTTCGGCTGCGCCGTGTAAGCAACACGCACAAAAAAAAATACGAGAAAGAAATGTATATTGACGTACGCTTGAGCACATAACAAAAAAAAAAAAATGAGTAGCGCGCTCGTTGGCGGAATGCATCATCGGACGACGCTCTCTGTGATGGTGTTTTTGCTCTCTCATCGTTTCCATGTATGCAACATGAGAGAAAAAGACAAAAAAAAAAAAACGAGTGCGCACAAGCGGGCGGTAGAAGGTAGAAGGGTCAACTTTTTTTTTTTCTTCGTTCCCTTTTTCTGTTCTTCTGCCAGTAGTGCAGCTAAGGGTGACATTTTTACTATATCCTTTTCGAGAGACCTCAGAGAAGTTGAACTCTTGTTTCTATAATGTTTCTTACGTAATATCAATGGTTATATTTTTCGATCAATACACATACTCATGCGTTCATGCATACATACACACGATGGTTCCCATGAGATAAAAAAAAATGAATTTCTTTTTTTTCTCATTTTTTTTTTTTATACTTCCAGATGCTTTGTAAGTTAACAGTCAGTGGCGGCCAAATGGTCAGATAAATAAGTATTGCCGACCATGCATCATTCTCGTCAGTCGATTGACGTTCCACTCGTTGTTGATGATGACAACGATGAAGATCTATCGAATCATCATTATATTCCATCAACTACCGGCGATTATTCATCATTGATTGTTGATTCGCCACCAGATACAATAGGTCATCGAAATATTTATCCTGATCGATCACCATCACCTACATCCTCAAATATTCAAACATCTCAAACATCAACATCTCTTCGTCCTACTCATAGACGTTTTTCATATAGTACTTCCCTATCCGATTCAATTGGATCTGTTAATAATCTTCATCGTGAACGTGTACGTTTTAATACATGGCCACGTCATCGAAAAGAAAAACGTGATATATTTGCTGAATATGATAAACGTTTAGCTAAATCAGTTATACAAGAACTTGGTATTGGTATAAATAAAACTTATCGTAATCCATGGGGTAATCTTTCTTATGCTCAATTGATTACACGTGCTATTGATAGTAGTCCATGGAAACGTTTAACATTAAATGAAGTATATGAATGGATTATTAAATTTGTACCATATTTTAAAGATAAAGTTGATGCAAAAACAAGTTGGGGATGGAAAGTAATTATTATTTTCTTTTTTTTTTTCCTATATCATTTTTTTTTTGCATTTTAAAGAATTCAATTCGACATAATTTATCATTACACAATCAATTTATACGTGTACCTGTTATATCATCATTATCAAAAGGTCCAGTTAAATATGTTTGGACAATAAATCCATCATTTAAAAATAATTCACCCTATAAAAAATATAGTTTAAAAAGAAAACGAGCCGCTGCTGCTGCAGCAGCAGCTGCAGCTGTAGCTGTTTCAAATATGAATTCATCATCATCATCAACATTATCACAAAATTCTGAACAAACTCTAGAATCAAATTCATCTCCATCAACATCATCCAATAATTATCATCGTCATTCAACAATACCTGTTACAAAACCACCTCGTTTATTAAATGAACATTTACATAGTAATACTTCATCATCATCATCATCATCATCATCATCAACATTAAATCAATTATCAGTTGCTGCAGCTATGATGTCGGCTGGTGTTACTGATCCGGCAACATATCGAGCATTTTTAAATTCTCAAGCAGCAACAGCAGCTATGATGAATAAACAAAAACAATCAAATATATCAACACAACAATCAACATCTATATCACATCGACATAATACAATATCATATACACATGAACCAGGACTTCCTATTCCTAAAAAAGTTGCACTTAGTACAGATCGTTATAAACAACAACAACAACAGCAACAACAACAACAACAGCAACAGCAACAACAACAACAGCAGCAACATGCTGAATGGCTTTTATCTTCATATAGACAACAATCCCAACCATATAATACTAATCAACATCATCATTCATCAAATTCAAATAAAATTATGATTAATCAACAACGTTCACAATATTTACCATCAGTACCACCATCAATAAATGCACGTATTAATTCTGAAATAAATAATTTACCACCATCATCATTACAAAGACGTGGTAGTTCACCACCAACATTTTCTTCAACAGCAGCACAAAATAAATTATTAGCTCAAACAAAATTTTGGCATGCTGCTGTACAAGCTGCTGCTCAAGTTCAACAACAATATCAACATCAACATCAACATCAACATCAACATCAACATCAACAACAAACATCAAATAATTCTATAAATGAACTTCAAAATTATATGAATCGTTCGAATACAACAACTAGTAATCATAATAAAATTCCAACATATCTAAATTCTGAAGTAATGAAAAATAATTCTCTTGATGAACAACATCATTATACAAATGATCCTCGTTATAAATTAATGCGTGCTTCGTATCCAAATACAATGAATAATACTCCACCATCAACATGTCTTATAAGACAAAGAAATAATCAAAATACTACTTCAACATTACTTAATACACAACAACAACAACAAGTTGATATACTTACAGCAGCTTATCATAATTATCGAAGACGTTCAAGTGGATTTTCATCAACAACAAGTCATGGCGGAGCAAGTGATGAAGAAAGTGATGAATATGTACCGCCAAGAAAAGATTCCGTATGAAATTTTTTTTTTCTAGAGATTTCTTTTTAAAAACAAAAAACCAATCTCTTTTCTTTCTGTTTAGTCGACTTCAAATGCATCAAGTGGTTATGAATCAGGTTTAGCTACAGGTCGTCAATCACCTCCAATATCATCTATTCGTACAGGCTCAGGTTCATCAATAACATCCGATGTATCATCATCTTCATGTTATTATAATTCTAAAACTGCTAGAACTCTAATAAAACAACGTTTAACACAAGTAAATTCAAATTCTAATGATATTGAAATGGATGATCGACAACAACCATTATTAAATCCTGTTGGTGGTTATGTTGATGATCTTATGGAACGTATACGTAAAATGCCACCAAAAAAACGTTCAAAATTTTATCAAATGCTTGATGAAGAACGTTTGAAAGATCTTAATAATAATAATCAAGGTGAACATAGACAAAATAAACAAATTGAATGTGATGATGATAATCATAATGAACATAGATCAATGAATTTACCAATGCCACTTGTTGTTGCTGAAATTCATAGTGATGATGATGATGATGATGATGAAGATCGAACATTAATTGAATTATCATCAAATTCTTCAATTATAAATGAAAATAATGAACAAGATAAATTAAAACAACAATTTTTAGGTTTAAGTGAAAAAAATTATGAAGAACTTGTTTCAATGGGTGTACCATTAACAGTTTTAAAAGCTATTGCTATTCACAATCAACAACAACAACAACAACAACAAACACAACTACATAATAATAATAATGCTCAATTATCAAATTTTTTAACAAATAAATGTACAGTTTCATCAACAAATTCTTCAGTAGATAATAAACAATTATTAAATGCACGTACAATACTTCGAAGAATTTTACAACAACAAGAACAACATGAACAACAACAACAACAACAACATTCAACGAATGATAAATCATTACCTGAACCAATGGATTATACAACAGATGAAGAAGCTGGTATTATTGAAGATGATGATGGTGATGATGATGACGATGATGAACATCAATCATCGTCAACAACACCACGTCATAGAAATAGTGTTCGATCGAATAGTCATAATCCTGTAACGGTTATACTTAATCCAAATAATATTTCATCATTATCACCATTAACATCTATATCACCATCACCGGATCATACTAATGTAGATCATCAATCAAATACAAATTCACTTAATCGACCATCAAGTACACCTGCTGCTTTGGTTTCATCTGCTTGTTCAGTTTAATGATAACCATTGTTTTGAGTGCAGGTTATGTTTTCTTTCTCATTCATTGTTCAGGGATACTCTTTCTTTTTTGATCTACTACTAACTGTGCAACTATCTATCTATTGCTTCTTTATTATTTTTCATTCTCTGGTGTTTTAAACGCAAAGAAAAAACAAAACAAAACAAAAACAAACCAAAATATCATCATCATTATAGTATGCGTTTGCTCATCTTGTCTTTTAAACGACAGAAAAAAAAAATCCAAGCAAAATATTCATCTGCTTAGCAGTTTATTTTAAAAAGCCATTTATGTATATACACAGGATTATCCTCGTAGAGACCTTTCAAATATTTGTTGTTGTTGTTGTTGTTTTTAATTGTCTGTTGAATCTCTTGTTTTCGTGATAAAAGAAAAAAAAAGAAAACTTAAACATACGTATGCTTACATGAATATTACAGGTATCATTAATTTTTCTTTTTCTTTTTTTCTTTTTTCTTTTTCTTTTTTTGTTTGATGCAAAGGAAAATCCAAAATTGAGCTTCATTTATTAAATGAACGAATTGACTTGCCAAGTTTTGCATTAAATATTTCTGCGCATTTTCTTTGTGTTGTTTTTTTTTTGCCTCAAAAAGTTGACCTTTTTTTCTTTTGTATCAGGGATTTTGTTGTCAAAACTCCGTTTCTTTTTTTTTTCTTTTTGTTCGTTGAAAAAAAAACTTAATTGACTGTGTTGCGTTTTTCTTCTTCTTTTTTTTTGTTTGTTGTTACAACAAATAGTTTGATGATGTGTGCATCAAAAATTCTTTTGTATATTGAAATTTTTCTTTTTTTTTTGTAATAGTCACCTCATTGAGCAGTGCTGTTTTAAATTGATTTTGTTTTTGTCTTTAAAATATGTGTGAAGTCGAATTATATCTATCCATTTGGTGTGTGTGTGTGTGTGTGTATGAGTTTTCTCTACAGAACAGTATCATTTTTATGATTTGCTCGATTCATAAATGAATGAGCATCTGTTTTTTCTTTTCTTTTGACTATTGAACATAGCCTACTTGTCTTTTTTTTTGTTTTGTTGGTTTATATATATGTATTGATTTATGATTTTTTTTTTTCTTACACGTGTCTCAATTTTCCAACATTCATCATCGGTATTAATATAATCTATAATTTGATTTTTCGTTTTGTCTTTGTATGTTACGGTGTTGATTATATGCTCCCTTTCGTTTACGATTTAGTATGTGTCGTTCCCTTTCTTTTTTTTTTCTTTGTCTATGTTTGTAACGATTTTTTTTTTTGCGAATAACAAGATAATTAAGAGATGGTATATATATGTAGGCTTTAGTTAACAATGATTATAAGCTTAAAAGAAAGAATATGAGGTAGTGGCATAACCAGAAGATTGTGGATGGTAGAGTAGTACCCCACGATTTTGCGGAGAATCTATATAATATTATGTCAATGATGGTAATTATTACATTTTTCTTTCTTGTGGGGGTAGGGCACCCGCTCGGTTTAGCCCACTCTTAATTACACTATTAGTTTGTGGGTATATCATGAACATTTGAGTACATGAATTATTCTTTTGTGTAATTAGTTTGATTTAGCCAACGTCAGGAAAACATTCTCAATTGTCTAATCACTTTTTTGCTTGAGATTATTGCCACGAAATCAATCATGATGAGTAGTAAAAAAAACAGATTTTTTTTGACTTGGTTCTCCAGCCTTAGCTTTTTGAGTTATGAATGTTTTACTCTATTTTCGCCCAGCGACCATATATATGCCTTATAGTCACAAAAAACACTCTAAATTTTGAGTCAGAACGAATGTATCCTTTCTAACATATTTACATTTAAAGAAACGTCTGTTTTGAGCGGTGTTTCAAAAAAAAAACAAGTTTCTGTAGAAAAAGAAACACAAGATCCTCAGAAGATTTTTTCATCTGTGGAGCTCATTGAGTTGATCATTTTGGTTAAAAAAAAATGTTCAAAGGACAAGTGGCGATAAGACCATTTTTCCATCCCCAACATTTTTTGAAAAAAATTACATGCTTAGAATCAGCGTTAAATTCTGAACAAAACTATCTATTGATTTTTTTAAAGAAAAAATTTTTTTTTCTCTCTCCAATTTAATCTAGATATAGGTTATCGATCATGCTGATCACGAATATAAAGTTTGTTTTACATAAAAAAGTGATTTAAATGAAAAAACAGCTTATTCTGAGAAAGGATGTTTTTTTGACCTCAGTCCGAAAATCACTACCTTTTAACCCTAAAAGACAGTTTGGAATAGTAATAATGCGTTATATATGTGTGAAAATGATTATTCTATGAATTTCTGATAAATTAATGACTTAAAAAATATATATTTCCAATTTATTTGACTAAAAACTGTCACAAATAGAAACAAAAATCGATATTTTCTGAAGTGTAGGCCAATTTGTTTCCTAACCAGTTTTTGATCCAATGAGTTATATATATATAGATCGATGCAGTTTTTCATGCTCTATCCGAATATGACTTCAAAAGGAAGAAAAAAAATGAAGAAAGTACTCAAAAAGCGGAAACACTAGAAAAAGAGCAGCAAAATCATAAAAATGGTCAAATATTCCCAGACTATGACTAACAAAAAATAGTTTTGAGACAAAATGAATATGATATTCGGAATCAGAATGCAGAACTACATCCCATAGCATGAATTCGATTCCTGGTCCCTCTTAGTGCTTTTCTCATTTAATTTTGCTTGTGGTTCCCGTCAGTCGATATTTTGTGAAAGAAAAAATTTTTAAATCGAATTCATGCTATGGAATGTAGTTCTACATTCTGATTCCGAATATCATATTCATTTTGTCTCAAAACTATTTTTTGTTAGTCATAGCCTGGGAATACTTGACCATTTTTATGATTTTTCTGTCCGTTTTCTAGTGTTTCCACTTTTTGAGTACTTCATTTTTTTTTCTTCCTTTTGAAGTCATATTCGGATAGAGCATGAAAAACTGCATCGATTTATATATATATATATAACTCATTAGATCAAAAACTGGTTAGGAAACAAATTGGCCTACATTTCAGAGTATATAGATCTTTGTTCCTATTTTTGATAGTTTTGAGCCAAATAAATTGGGAATATATATTTGTTAAGTCATTTATCTATCAAGAATTCATAGAATAATCATTTCCACACATATATAACGTACTATTACTATTCCAAACTGTCTTTTAGGGTTAAAAGGTAGTGATTTCGGACTGAGGTCAAAAAAACATCCTTTCTCAGAATAAGCTGTTTTTTCATTTAAATCACTTTTTTATGTAAAACAAACTTTATATTCGTGATTAGCATGATCGATAACCTATATCTAGATCAAATTGGAGAGAGAAAAAACAATAGATAGTTTTGTTTAGAATTTAATGCTACTTCTAACCATATAATTTTTTTCAAAAAATGTTGGGGGCGGAAAACTAGCCTTACTGCCACTTATCCTTTACTCAATGAATTATGACACTAGTACTAAAAAAACTTCGTCTATTGTTGACTGTCAAAATAATCAGTGCAATGAGCTCTACGAAGTTCTACAGACAAAAAAATCTTTTGAAGATCTGATGTTTTTTCAGTTGACTACCTACCACGGATATGTTTTTTTTGGCATGTATTCAAAACGAATCGTGTTCAAACATCGGTACCATTGGCCATGGAATAACCTTAAACAAGTGTCTAACGGCTATTTGGCTCGGATCACTCGTCCAATAGCATGCTGACTAAGTTATGACAAAACTCAAAACAGACTGTTTTTTACTATTTATCATGATCAAACGAATGACAAATAGTCTCAAGTGAAAATCGATTCGATAATATGTAATTCCTAAGGTGTATATATGACACTGCAATATGATCTAAAATCATTCTTCGATTATTTTTATTCTTTAAAAAAAAAGCATCTGACAAAACTAATTATATATGAATTTATTGTTCGGTTGAGTCATTAGGTTGATTAATTTTTATAGCTTCACGCCATTGTTTAGCTAAGTCAGGATTTTCTTGTTCCCATTTAGCTGAAGTATTATGTATAAGCCAATCACTTTTATTAATTGTTTGTCGAAGTTGTGATACAAGATCATCTAATTTGTTTTCTGTAGTTGTTGATGTTGTCTTCGAATTATCCGTATTTGACATCTTCTACAAGACAACAATAATTATCGTTTTTAAATCTTTCGATTCAATCAAATGAAAAAAACGAAAAAGAACTTGTATATAGATGCTAGAATATATAAGAAAAAAAAAGAAGATGACTACAAAAGATACATAATATAAGATAGAATAAAAACAATATTTTATGGATTAATTGTTGTGCCCAATAATTTTAAAAATTCTGCAAGCCATTTTGGATGACCAGGCCAAGCTGGTGATGTAACAAGATTTCCATCAACAACTACTTCTGTTGGTTCAACTTCAACATAATTTGCACCAGCTAATTGAAGATCAGGTCCGAGTGTTTTATATGCTGTAATTTTACGACCTGTAACAACACCAGCTGCAGCAAGTACTTGAAGACCATGACATATACTTGCAATAGGTTTTTTATTATTATCAAATTCACGTACAAGATCACGAACTCGTTTATCTAATCGAATATATTCCGGTGCACGTCCACCAGGTATTACTAATGCATCATAATCTTTAGCTTTAACTGATGAAAATGTTGCTGTCAATGTAAAATTATGGCCACGTTTTTCTGTATATGTTTGTTCTTGTTCAAAATCATGTATAGCAGTTGCAACGGTTTCTTTTGCTTTCTTATCTGGACATACAACATCAACATGATGACCAACTGTAAGTAAAACTTGATAAGGAACCATTACTTCATAATCTTCGACAAAATCACCAACAAGCATTAAAATTTTTTTCGGTGCCATTATTATCTATCTAGAAATATATTCGAAAATATATATGAAAGAAATTAATACAATATTCGAAAATTAATTTTCCTAATTTTCTTGAGAGGACGACGACATTAACTAAGAACGTATTACATAATGCACATAATCTTGATTTAAAAGCTAATTAAAAAAACTTCTCTCGTTACAAACATGATATAATATTATCAATTGATAGTAAAATATTTTTTATAAATAGAAATTCTTCAAAAGAAATATGTAATTAAAATGCAGATTATTTGTATGATAAATTTTAACCATCGTGAATTATGTGCTGAAACTAGAATAATAAAATTTATGCTTTTTTTTTTTTTTTTTTTTTTTTTACTAAATAAAAACAAAGAGTTGTTATTGCTGTTCTTATTTAATCATGTTAGTTTTTTCGTGTTGGAATGACACAAACATTTTGGGAACAATAAAAAGAACATGAAAAACCAACAATTCATCATTATTATGCGTATGGACGGACAACATTAGAAAGACGAAGAAAACAAACAGTCTATGACGATTATTCTTTGGAAGTTGTTTTTTGTTCGCCTGATGCCGTTGTTGTTGAACTAGGTTCATCATTAGATTTCTTCGATTCTTGTTCATTTGCATTATTTGTACCATTTTCAGTTGTCATTGAAGTTGGTTTTTCATCATCTTCATCTTCATCTTCATCTCCTTCTTCTTCTTCGTCTGAACCATCACCCATATCCATATCAGGCATACCACCCATGCCACCCATACCACCCATACCACCCATGCCACCCATGCCACCCATGCCTTAAATAAAATAATTAATTAATAATCGAATAAGACAAAAAAAAAGCAATAGAATTTTCTTACCTCCAGAAAACATATCTTGAAAATTACCACCATGTCCAGGTTTTTCATCATCACTTTCATCTTCATCTTTCCAATGATCAAAATCCGTTTGTAACCAATGTAAACGTGTTTTATCTTTTGTTAAACGTGGCCAAAAATTAGCTGTTGAATCTTTTTTTTTTAATAATAAACGCCAAAATTTTTGACCAACATTTTCATATTTACTCGTTTCAGGATCAATTTTTCCATGTAAATTTATTTTAACAGCATATGTATTGTTATCTTTAGTATTCGATGATGTTGAATGACCTTGAAAAGATACAGAATCTTCTTCAAATTTAACATCAACTTTTTCAATATCGGGTACAGCAATTGTTAATAAAACATGTTCACGTTGTTGAGCCCAAAGAACACGTGGAATTTGAGTTTGTTCAGGCATAATCGAATACTAAATAATCAGACAACAACAATAGCAAATGATATATTAACTAATAAGGCGATGAAGTGATTAATGTGAGGGTCTTTTATATGCTTGTTTGTTTTTTTTTCTTCTTCTTTGATTAAAGTTGATTGTGGCGACCTCATTTTCAATAGTATTAGATTTTAAAATTTTAATACTTTTTTAAAAAATTTTTCTATGTAAAATGATAATAATTTAAATTTAATTTTTAAACTCATTCCATAGTCAGCGTGTCACATCAATGATTCGTTCATTATTTCTTATTAGGTTGCTGATGGGTTGATAATACAACGAATGTTTGATATGTGCAAAATGTATCTCATTTGAAATTCTTATTTTCACTCAAAAATATCTTATCAAATTAAAATACAGAAATATTCATGTTAGTTCTCTAATAAAAATTTAACTAAGTTTAAGGTTTTTCAGACTATCGAAAGTAATAATTTTAAATGGATTCATCAGTCTATTTATTGAATATTAAATCTACTTTTCTTTTTAGATCTATAATTTAATAAAACTAACAAATTCATTCACATCATGGTTCGTGATAGTGATCAAGTAAGAGAAAATTCGATGAATAATTTAATTTTAAAATATATATATATATAACTATTAGGTTTTGGGTATTTGTGCTAATATTCTTGGTATAATTGTATTTTTACTAGTCGTTGCTTATCATTATGTTCAAGCAAGTAATCCACGTAATCAACGACATACAAATGAATAAATTATATTAAGATAGTATAACTTTTAACATGGGTTGTTTTACTTTATAACTGTTACATTTTTTTTTCTTTTTCTTTGATTGTTATATTAGTTAGTTATCTTAGTTGACATTGATGATTATGGGAAACATTTACATTCTATTCTTCTTTTGTTTTGTTTTTTTGTTTTTAAAGAAAAAAAAGTGCATTAAAAAGAAATAAATTATTTGATAAAATGTATTTGGAAGAACGTAATTTTTTATTTTCTTTATGAATATAAATAGACCATTCTAATTTATTCGAGATAAACAAAGACCTCATAGGAATTGTTTATTTTACGAGGCAAGAAAACATAAGCAAAGTTCTCAGTTCTCTATATAACATAACATTTCTAAAGATCCATCAGATATTATTTTTCTTCGGACCAGACGTCAGCTGTGAACAATGTAATCAAAGTAGTAAGTTTTTCTACTAAATCTATTTATTATTATTATTTAATGTCATCTAGATCAGGGTGTGGATGTTGGTGTTAGGATGGATCTTTCTTTGAATAACACTCACACAATAGTTTGAGATCGACATTTTGAGCAGAGGACCCATGGGGGAAACAGCGGGCTTTTGGACTTGAAGTTACTTTGAACTACTTCAAATAGTCTACTTTGGCGTACTTTTCTACTTCAAGTCCTCTGATTCCCCCTTGAGAGGATTCTATGTATTTGGTGAAAATATTGTCGACGGAGGATCCATTAACTACGTTGCTCAAAGACAAATGAATTGATTGAGAACACACCGAACTTAACTTCTCTAAAGAATGTATTTTTCCAAGATAGGCCTCCTTATTATCGTAATAACGAACAAATTTTGCCGGTCTCAAGAATACAATATCAATCTCTGCTGAACAAACCAACGGAAGAACGAAGACAATAAATGAGAACAAAAGATTTTGTTTTTTGACTAAAACAATATTTTTTGCGCTTTTTAATCGAGAACTCGATTTGTCAGGAGCAATAATGTACTTGAACATGTTCCTTATATTACATCGGACACAAGACGTACATATACGATGATAAAACAGATTCGTTGCGACACGCATTGAACCAGCTTAGCCATAAAGATCCAACGAATTGATCCGTCCACCTGCAAATGACCATCTTTTTTTTCATCAATACAATGAACCACCTCCATTCTGCGTCTATCTGGACAAGGGGTTTGCAAGAAGTCGTTCTGATTTCGCCGTCGATACATCTCTCTCTGCCAATAAATAAAACTGTCTTGGAGTGACGACCTCGATCCTTGCGATTCTTCATCGAGTTTCATATAATCTTCAACTTATTTTTCTTCATGCCTATAAAATCAGTCGCGTCTATCTATTGATTAGAGGAAATGAATTTGACCGTAGAGGATTGAACATATCGTTTCGATACAATATCAAATATAGAAATGAAAAAACTTTTGTCTTGGAAATTTCAGAGAACTTTCACGGTAGACTCCTAAGTCGATTAATAAAACTTTATCTACGCGCTTTTTCTGTCATTTGAGAAGCCTATTGAAAAGTACGGGAATCGAAAATTTTGACATTAGTAGAAGAAAAATGAGTATGCTAGGATTGTAGCCCAAAGTTTGACTTAGTATCGTTATGCAGTTAGTTTTTTTCTAAAATAAAGTAAAATTTAAAACTATTATCGGAATTTAAAAAAAAAGGCTAGTGGGTGAAATGCTTATAACTTTTGAAGGAAAGGTGATAGAGACCTGCGGTTTTCACCGTTGGAAAGTGGAGATCAAGGTACATCGAACTGTGTAATAAAGATTTTTGTGACATGGTGTATCATGGTTTTATCTCAATTATTAAAAAAAACGATGCTTTAACAAGTTGAAAAAATTATCATTTTTACAAAAAATTGTGAAAAAAGTGTTTTTTTTTCCGCAAATTTGTTGAAAAACTAGATAGAAGCTACTAGTAAAATGAATATAACTCCTGAGCTGTAGAAGATACAGACCTGGGGTTGGTGTAGGATTGTAGATCTCGATCTAAGCTATCGATTTCACTATTAGGAAATCAAAACTGAACATACTTTCAGAGAATGGAAGCCTCAACAAGTTTGAGTTTGAACATTACCAGAATAAACTGTATCTGATGGCCTGGTTTTTCCATACTGGTATGTGCCATGTCAGGCTCTATCCTACGGTGAAAACCGCAGGTCTCTATCGCCTTCCCTTCAAAAGTTATAAGCATTTTACCTACTAGCCTTTTTTAAAAATTGCGATAATAGTTAATAGGAATTTCTGTATACGGTTTTTGTAGAGCTTTTTGCAATGTATATTTTAAAAAAGAAACCAATCTTTTATCATTTTTTTTCTTAAGTCAAAATATATGCGAAATAAAAAAATGTCGCAAAACTCTTATTAAATTCGATATAAGAATAAGAATGATGTAAAGATGTCTTCTCCTATAGCTCTAAATTGCATTTGTTAGTGTTATCTTTCCTCTAGTTTTCTCTATTGAAAGTGAATGTAGAAGAAACATAGATGTAAGATCAGTATTAATATTCCCTCTTAGTTGTCATCAAATTTCATAATTATTTCGAAGAGAACATTTTATCTTAATTCTGAGAAGGACATCGTTTTGAAGGTTATATTAATGGTCACATTATACACGTATAGTGAGACGAATGCTTTTTATCTTGAATTTTTTTTTTTGTTAAGTACGTAGTCGATTCATTTACATTAATGGAAAATGACTATGCGGAATTCAGCTGATTGATACTAGAAACAAAGTTGTTGCTCGCCATCTGCCAAACTCAGTATCTGTCGCTTCAATATAATTCAGCCAATGATTTCTAATTATATAAGATGCTAAAAAAAAAACTCGTACTCATGACTTCATACAGGAGGACGATCATGAAAAAATGACAAGTGATGTCATAGAGGAAGAAGATCCGTACAAAAATTGAGAAAAAATCAGGATATAATGTGTGAACAGCTCGTAACATGAATTTATATATATG